ATTCTGGTACTTGGTCATAATTTAGAGCAACTAAAAAAAGCAAAATCAAGCTTAAAATTAGTGCAGTTTGTGGAGTAAAATCAACTGTTTTCCCATGATTTTGTCATGTATAAAAAAAAGATAAAACTTGCATTCTTGGCAATAAATTTTTTTCTCAAATTTCACTAGTTTTAAGCTTTATTTTACTTCTTTTAGTTACTCTACTCTAAAATATTGGTAATGTATGAAAATAGTCTTATTTTGTAATTGATACCTTAATCATCATCATCTTTAATAAATAATTGACATTGATGACACAACCATCATCAAACATGGCTGTCAACTGTACTAAAATATTGCAATTGCTACTTATGTAACATGATTAATAATTGCAAGTTTAATGATCCCTTTTCAGAACATTTATGGATGATTCTTGTTGCTATCAGACACGGCTACCATCATTGCTGAAAAAAAATGATAAGATATTCAATTTATATAAATAGATAGAATTTAGAAAAAGTCTCTGAATGGTTACTTTTATTGAAAAAAATAAAACTTCACCTTGCAATTAGAGCCAAACTTGAACTTAATTATCCTTGGGGTATCTAGTCTTAAAAGTATTGTCTTATGCATTGCCTGCCCACCAACATGGCTTGCAATGGCTTAATATAGAACTTAGGGGTAAAATGCCAGTTGTCTATTATCTTGTAAACCCTTATGGAAAGATAAAACCAAAAGCTCAAACACATCAAACAAATGGAAAATATCTCATATACCTGACTCGGTACAGCATTTCCTTATGTAAAAAATGTAGGATTAAACCTGGTTTTAAAGCTAGCTAAACCTCTAACTTTTATGACAGTCGCATAGAATTCCATTATATTGACAACAATGTGCGAGCAAAACAAGGGACAACAGGTAAAATTGTCAAAAATTGGGGTACATCAGTCAACATTGTTAATTTATGTATCAGTGACATTTTGCTTAGTTTCTTTTGTTACCTATTCTGACATTGGAATCAGACTACTTTAAACTGAGTTTTACTGAACATATTGCTGTGTGTTTGTTTATTTTACATTGGCTATCTAGAGGTATAGAGGAGGGTTAATATCTCACTAAACATGTTTAACCTTGCCACATTTTTGCCCCTGTCCCAAGTCAGGAGCCTCTGGCCTTTGTTAGTCTTGTTAGTCTTGTATGTTTTTATTTATTTTAGTTCAATTATATGTTTTGGAGTTTAAAGTGACGTCCATTTTCACCTAACTAGTACACATTTTTGTTTAGGAGCCAGCTGGAGCCCTCATCCAGGTGTGGAATTTTCTCGCTGTTTTGAAGACCCATTGGTTTGCATTCTGCTGTCTTCTGCTCTTTAGTCCGGTTATTGTCTCTTGGACACATTCCCCATTTCCATTCTCTATTTCATTGTGTTATAATCTTATAATCACTATAAAAACTTATCAATATTTCAACAAAGAAAAACAAAATGGCACATAGGCACTCTATAGACAAAGTGCATAAGCATAAATGAGAGACAAGAATACAAAAATTACCATAGCACAATAACACAATGGTCTGATGTTTAAATACCGAGCCACACCAAAAGTATATTACCAAAAATGAACTAAAAAGTACAGTAAAGGTTAAAAATATTCAAAGACAAATAAAAGAACACTATAACATGTAATGAAGATAAATAAACAACGTCAGTACTTAAAATATACACTTCAAGACCATCAAGTATTATTTGTGAATTTGATACATAATATTTATCAACAAGGTTTTGGTATCTTCCGATGAACTTTTTTAGAATAAGGATGAGACGTTCTTTGATATAACCCTAATTCATCAAATTTCTGCTCAGTCACTGGTGACGTTTTATAAAGTCTGAGTAGTTTAGAGTGAAACTGTAAATTTAAAAAATCATAAGCAGGCCAAGATCTACAAAGAAGTCAAAAATTGAAAACAAATCGTTTAATTATTGCATGCGTCCGAAGCGCTTTTCTGGATTTACCTTCATCAGGAACGCTCAAAGCCAAACATTTGAAATCCGAGGGATGTATAAGTACCGAAACAGTTGAAGAGCTATATGACAAAAATACCTAAAACAAATAGCCAAATCCATCTAAGGACAACTTTGCCTGATGGAGTTGAAACCTTAGTTTCTTTATAATTTCAAAATTTATAAACGGGCAATTTTAGAAAAGTTTGTTATTAATCATGTCAGTACCGAACTGACTACTGAGCTGATGATACCCTCGGGGACTGATAGTCCACCAGCAGTGGTATCGACCCAGTGATGTAATAAATTGAAAACAACACGTTTAATAATTGCATGCGTCCGAAGCGCTTTTCTGGATTTACCTTCATCAGGAACGCTCAAAGCCAAACATTTGAAATCCGAGGGATGTATAAGTACCGAAACAGTTGAAGAGCTATATGACAAAAATACCTAAAACAAATAGCCAAATCCATCTAAGGACAACTTTGCCTGAGGGAGTTGAAACCTTAGTTTCTTTATAATTTCAAAATTTATAAACGGGCAATTTTAGAAAAGTTTGTTCTTAATTATGTCAGTACCGAACTGACTACTGAGCTGATGATACCCTCGGGGACTGATAGTCCACCAGCAGTGGTATCGACCCAGTGATGTAAAAAATTGAAAACAACACGTTTAATAATTGCATGCATCCAAAGCGCTTTTCTGGATTTACCTTCATCAGGAACGCTCAAAGCCAAACATTTGAAATCCGAGGGATGTATAAGTACCGAAACAGTTGAAGAGCTATATGACAAAAAAACCTAAAACAAATAGCCAAATCCATCTAAGGACAACTTTGCCTGAGGGAGTTGAAACCTTAGTTTCTTTATAATGACCAAAATCTTCAGTTAACTTCTTATAGTAGTTGATGCCCATAAATGAGGATTTTTATGAATTTGTGTTTTTTGTCAGAAACTATATTACTATAAAATATCAAGAAACTAGGAATAGAAAAAAATTTTCGTAGAAAAATATCTACTTACAAGTCAACAAGGCCATAATTTTCAGTCAACTTGTCATAGGAGTTTTTGTCCTTGAAAGAATTTTAACCCATTTTTTGTTTTATTTAGCAGAAACTGTAAATAGCAAAAAATTACCAGCTTGACAGAATCTACAAATAAGTCAACATTGCAGAAAAAGTCTGTCAAATCAGAATAACGAGACATTCCAATATGTCAACATTGTTGAAATAGTCAGTGAACTTTTTATTGGTGTTATGGCCCTTAAATGATGATTTTTACCAATGTTAAGTTTTTTTTGGGGTGGGAGGGGGGAATTTTAAGAGAGAAACTGTAAAAATAAAAATTGATCAATATTACAAGATTTACAAAAAGTTGCATTACCAAAATCATCACTTGACTCTATAATGAGTTATTGACCTTGAATGATATCTTCTGAAATTTGTGGGCCAATTTTTACAAAACTTGGCTGCAATCATCATTGGGGTATCTTTGTTAAGAAATGTCTCTGATGACTCCTCCTATTTACAAACATGGCCGACATGGCTAAAATTGAACATAGGGGTAAAATGCAATTTTTGTCTGTTATCTTCAAAACCGCAATAGATAGATAAAATATTGACTGGCAACCATGTTCAAAATGTTGGGATCAACCTTCTTTCTATTGACATATAAACTGTCAGACAACTTCTTTTAGGAGTTATTGCCCTTTAACAACAAATTATTATTTTATGTCCCCACCATAGCTTAGGGGGCGTTAAGTCTTACGTCCGTACGTCCCAAAGTTGGTTTCCGTTCTCTAACTTAAGTTTGCCTCAACCAAATTTTACACAATGCTTATTACCACAAAACACAGATCATGTTTGAATTTTGGTGGCGTCACTTTAACCGTTCTAGAGTTATGCTCCTTTATAAATGGAAAAATTGCTGAATTTTTCGTTTCTGTTTTCTAACTTAAGTTCGCCTTAATCAATTGTTATGAAACTTATACACAATGCTTACTACCACAAAATACAGATCAAGTTTGAATTTTGGAGGTGTCACTTTTACCGTTCTAGAGTTATACCCGTTTACAAATGGAAAAATTGCTGAATTTTTCATTCTGTTCTATTCCTTTAGTTTGCCTCAACCAAATAATATGAAACTTATACACAATGCTAATTTCCACAAAATACAGATCAAGTTTGAATTTTGGTGGTGTCACTTTAACTGTTCTAGAGTTATGCGCCTTCACAAATGGGAAAATTGCTGAATTTTTGTTTCCGTTATCTTACTTAAGTTAACCTCAACCGAATGTTTTGAAACTTATACACAATGCTTATTACTACAAAATACAGATAACTTTGAATTTTGGTGGTGTCACTTTTATATTTCTAGAGTTATACCCCTTTACAAAGGGAAAAATTGCTGAATTTTATTTCTGTTCTCGAACTAAAGTTTTCCTCAACCAAATCTTATGAAACTTGTGCACAATACTTATTACCACAAAACTCAGATCAAGTACAAGTTTGGGTAGAGTCACTTCCGTTTTTCTTCAGTTATGTCCCTTTATAACTTTATATGATATTCAAGCGGGGGCATCATCTGTGTCCCATGGACACATTCCCCATTTATTTTTCTTCATTTTTGCCTATTATCTTGAAAACTATAATATATTAATAGAAATGTAAAAAAGCATTAACTTATCAATACAAGATCAGGAGCAAAGATATTTTAGTCATGAATTAAATTTTATTCTGCTAATTGTTGGAGAGTGGTTGTTGTTGAAGATGCACATAGTCCTAGTTTAGCTACATAGGCTCTTTAGAACCTCTAGTTAACTATTTTATGTGTTTTTTGGCCAGAAACTATTGGAAATATTCATACTGCATTGTATCAATTTGATGCAAAATAAACCAGGCTACTAAGATCCTTATTTGGACTTGGTTATAATTTACCCTTTTTAGATATTGAAAAAATATGATATATCAAATGACTTTTATATATATATTAGATATTTTCATCACAAATTTTCCCTTTTTCAGGATTTTTGGTTCAGTTAAGTTTGACAAGTACTGAAGACAAATGTCCTTATGAGGGTGAAAAAAGACTGAACAACGATAAAGGGAAAGATTATGCTGTAGTGAACCCAGATATTCCAGGAGCCTATAACATTTATCCAGAACTTCCAACAAAAGTAGACGGAGATTCTGGAGAGAATTTTATTATTTATTTGATAGGAAATGGCACTCGATGTTTAATTTCCGTTTATGTAAAAAGTAAGAAACTTAATTACTTTATAGTGCAGGAATCTATTATAAGTTTCGTAAAGTTCTAGTGATGTCAATATTAAAGTAATATTATATTGATTTCCTTTGTCCAGCATAATTGTAGTTGAACCAACTTCAACTATTGACATGTCTCTAACTACAAAAGCAATGTATAATTTTTAGTTCCCACTGCAAAATGAATGCAATCTCTATCCTTCAGTGTTCTCAAGCACTTGATTTATTTTGGTCAGTATCTCCTTGTTTGTATCACCTTTTTCTGGACAACCTCGTGTTCATTTTAGATATGTAAAGAAGAATGAACCTTATCATAGTTTTATATAGATATAAGAAGATGTGGTATGGGTGTCAATGAGACAACTCTGTCATCAAAGTCACAATTTGGAAAAGTAAAGTTCAAAGTATAGTCTTCAACACAGAGCCTTGGCACACCGAACAGCAAGCTATAAAGGGCCCCAAAAATGACTATGTAAAACCATTCAAACAGGAAAACTAACGGTCTTTTATATACAAAAAAACTAGAAACACTAGAGAGAACTACATCAACAAACCACAACCACTGAACATCCTAACTTACGACAGGTGCAAACAAATGCAGCGGGTTTAAACGTTTTTATCACTGTTTTTGTTACTGTGAATTCATTTTTTTCTGTGGACTGACATTTAAAAATTATTTGTGAATATTTGAATTTGAAGTTTTGCAAAAGTTTGCATAAAAGCCTATAGAAATGTTGTTTGTTGATTGTTTACATAAACAGAGGTAAAGCATAAAAATTGGTCTTCCACAAATAATAATGATCAACAGTATATTTCAAAATATATGACAAATACGTTAAAATGAAAAAAAATTAATTAATTAATTATATGTATTGTTTTTGTCTGATTGACCATGTGACACTACAGAATTTTTACATTTGCATCTCCATTCTCCATGTTTTTACAGTTCTTAGGTGTAAACAGGAAGTCAGCAATATAAGTGACTATGAAGGTGGCACAAACTGCTCCAACCTGATATGGGGGAAATCATGTAATGCTGCCTGTTCTGATGGTAAAGTGTCTGTTGGTGGACCAGCAGTGTATACATGTGAAATGGATAATAGTAACAGGACTTTTCTACAGTTAGATAACCCTGCTGTATGTCAAGGTAGGTTTATATCTTAAAAAATATTAAACCGATATTTTTACATCAATAAAATTATGCTCTTAATTATGTCTCAAAGATGAATGATTGATGATTAAAAAGATCTATTTTTTGCAAAGAAAAGACAAAAAGCAAACCCAAAACATGTTGAAAAGTGCAAGCAGGGTCTATTTGACAGTAATTTGGGTAATTTAATTTTTACAATTATCATTATTCTACATGATACAATAAACAAAATTGCATAACTCTAACCTGAGCATTTTTTGCAATAAAATTTATGTGTTTATTCCTATTTAAAAGTAGTGTAAGGTGGACTGTTCTGAATTTAATGCAAGAGTGATATATCAAGTTTTTTATGTTCACCACAGTACCTGATAATATGATTTGAAATTCACAACTCTTCCAGTCTTTCCATCGGTGATTACAATTGCTTTGATTGTCAGAAGTACCTAAGATGAAGTACACTATTTTCCGAGAATTTCATTCGCTGAAATTTATTTTTAAAGAATTTCATTAGCTGATTTTAAAAAAGAAAAACAACACTGGTAATTATGTAGTGAAATAATAATGAAAACTATCATGTTCTACATTCAATCCTATTATGGTATATTTTTATGCCACTGCTGTAGTCAACAGGAGCATAAAGTGTTACTCTTGACCGTGCTTCCATCAGTCTTTCCTTCCTTCTGTCTGTCTGTTTTTCCATTTGTCCCATTTTTGTTTCCTCAGTTTAACTTAAGTTTGCCTCATGCAAATTTTATGAAACTCATACACAATGCTAAAAACAAAAACTTGCAGACAGAGTTATAATTTAGGCAGTGAGTCACATGCGGTTCTTGAGTTTTGCCCATCTATAACATGGAAATATCAATTGTTTTCTTTTCCTCACTTTAGCTTAAGTTTTCCTCATTGAAATTTGATTTTTAAGAAACTCATACACAATGCTTGGAATCAAAACTGGCTCACAGATTTTAAATTTGGGTCATTTAACAATCTATAGTTATGCCCCATTTTAACTTGGAAAATTGTAAAGCTTGAGTGGGCACATATCTGTCCTCAGACACTTACTTCTTTTTAAAACATATTTTAGATTGTCCCTTTGTTTTGTCTCTGTTAAAAAAAAATTGTGCAAAAATCACTAATTACGAAGTTGTGATGATTGTATCTAAATGTTTTACAGGAGCTTGGATATATTTTTTTTAATGAGATCAGAAAAAATGTTAAGACTACCTGTAGCTAGAACACAGCACCAATGATGCTTTGATTCTAGGAGTTATGCCCTTTTGAATTTTAGCTTAAATATACTACATCAACAGTTCTTCATTGCAACTCCTCTGAAACGGAATTTCATAAAAAATTGTACATAATGAGAGTATACTACATTATGTAGATGTGCATATCTACAGGAAACTATGATCCAAATTTTTTTTCTAGAAGTTATGCCTCTTTGGACTTAGGATTTTGAACTAGATATTCTAATGCAACAGTTTTTCTTTGCACCTCCCCTGAAACCACCAACCAAAATTTCATGAAACTTTGCAGTTAATGAGGACATAATATGAAGATGTGGATATCCACAAAAAAAAAATATCAGTTAACTTTTGTTGGAGTTAAGAATCTTTGAAATTATAAAATCTGGTGAGATTTTGTTTGACCAGTGACAATGTTGGGTGTTGGGTACGTGAGCGTGCTCACAAATATTTTAAAAATTTATTTATTAACTTGCATGAAATAACTGTCTGTATGATTTCAGATTCTACCTATGCTTTGAAATGTCCCAAAGATGTGACAATCTACACGGATTCAACTTACAGTAGCTCTGCATCCATCACATTAGATAAATGGACTATTCCAACTTCATTAGATGGTGATGGAAAGCCTTGGACTGTTGAAAGCCAAACTGCAAAGGAAAAAAATTATGAAATTGGCAGATATACCAATGTAGTGGCAGCTACGAGTTCAACAGGGGAAATCAGTTCTTGCAAATTTGACTTCATTATTAAACGTAATGTTTAACTTTCCAGCAAGAAGTTCTTGAAGGAGAGATATAAGTAACATATAATCCAGTTCTTTTTGTGCTAATCTTTTTTTTATATTATTGCCAAGCATACAACATCCCCATATTCTACTATAAATAATTTGTTCTTAAAAATCTTTACCTCATTGAAGGTGAAAATATATATCAATCATTGGATTTCTCATGTGAATTGTTTTATATTTAGCCTTTTATAGATGACAATGGAACTTTGCTCTTTGTTGAAAATACACTACAGTCAGTGACCGCTAGTTGCTTACATTCATGCCATTTGGACTCTGTTGGAAAGTTGTCTCATGGAGTCAATTGCAATCACAGCACATCTCCTTATTTTGATATCAAAATGGCATATTTTAACCATAGAGCAATTCAGGCATTTAGGAGCCTCTTGTATTGATATTCGATGATTAATTCATAATTTTTGCTATAAGTTCAACTTTTTAGTTGCTCTAAAAGTAATTGACAATATTTGGGGTATAGAAATTACTATCTGTTAGGTGAACAACTCCAACCGATAGTTTTCACTTGACCTTGTCATCATAGTCATGGTTCAATAACGAATTTCCGTCAATGTAAATTTGTATGATAAGGTTGTTAGTCAGTTACTATTAAGTATAGTGGTTAGGTGTAAATTGAATTTCTTTAGTTTTATATCTAAATGTAGTCTGTTTAATACCTTTACTTTGACCTTTACATAGTACCACTCTCATCATACAATTAAGTGTCAGTAATGATTGAATTATTCAAACAGATATTTCAGTGTATCAACTGTCATGATTTTATCAAACAATAAACATGGCCATCAAAATTCTGGATAAAGATTCAGCTTCAGACTTTTAGTTTCTACACATCATTTTTGCTCTTATTTTGATAATGCTCTCATAGGGTGGAGAAAAATCCTTATGTTTTTGAGGAGAAAAGGTAAGAGCAGCTACTGAAAAGCTGAAATTTTTGGGAATGTAGGTTGAAATGCACCCTTGAAAGAAAAAAAATCCTTTTTGGGGTCACTGAGCCATAGGTCAATGTCATAGTGTCTTTAAACAGACTGAAATTGTGAGTAAAATTTCATTAACAAACATCTTTTATTCAGCTATAATTCTGATATTTACCAATCTTTGATGGATACTGTATCATTTGTGACATGATTTATAACAAATTATCTTAAATAGCCCATCTTTAAATTTTGAAATTATGAAATTATACAGAAACTAAGGTTTCAACTCTCTCAGGCAAAGTTGGCCTTAGATGGATTTGGCTATTTTTTAGGTCCTTTCGGTTTTAATATAGCTCTTCAACGCTTTAGGTCCTTATACATCCTTGTCTTTCAAATATTCAGCTTTTAGCTTCCTGATGATGGTAAATTCAGAAAAGCGCTTTGGACGCATGAAATTAATATTGTGTTGTTTTAATCTTTTTTTGGGGTAAAGGACTACCGAGCATAAATTAAAAAAAGTCTACAGATCTAAATATCCATGGGATCATCAGTATTACAAACCAGACACTTGCACTGATATATTAAGGCTCTGTCTCCCATTATTTAAAATTTTATAAGACAGGTGTGGAACATATAAGTTTTTCTTTGTTACTCAAATTACCACTAGTTTGTACATATATCTTTATATTAATTTCAGGATACGGATGTACAGTTCCTGAAGTGCATGATTCTACAATAGAAGGTGCTACACCAAACCGTACATATCATATTTCAACCTATGGGCAGAAAAAGATCTGCAAACAGGGCTATGCTTTGAAACCAAAAGAAAATTACCGTGACTTTGTTAGAGTAGAATGTGTAGAAATATCACCTGGACATACAGAGTGGAAAAATTGGTACAGTCGAAACTGTACAAGTAAGATATTATTTTGATGATTATTTACATAAAAAGACCAAACCTAGGCATTCTGGACACTTATATTTGTCAATAGTACAAGTAAATATCCATGTTTCACCACTGGTACTGGTAGACATTGATGGGCAATGTTTGTCTACTAGTACAAGTAGATATAGATGGTCAATGTTTGTCCACTAATACAAGTAAATATAGATGGTCAATGTTTCTCCACTAGTACAAGTAGATATATTGATAGTCAATTTTTGTTCTCTGTTATTTGTGGTCAATGCTTGTCCACTAGTATGAGTAGATATATTTGGTCAATGTTTGACCACTAGTACAAGTAAATGTAGATGGTCAATCTTTGTCCATTAGTATGAGAAGATATGTATGGCTAAAGTTTGTCCACTAGTATGCACCCTATCACTGTTTGTTGGCCATAACTGGACATCACAAGGGTTCCCGTCACATCACAATAGTAAATGTCTGAGGCCAGAAAAGAAAATTGATTGTTTTATAGTTCAAGTGTCTTAGATTCCCAAAGAGTGATATGGTCTATTGGTAGGTATTGATGGTCAATGTATGTCTTTTAGTATGAGTTAATATTGGTGTTCTATTTTTGTCCACTAGTACAAGTAGATATTGATGGTCCATATGTGCCCACTGGTATGAGTAGAAAATGATGGTAAATATTTGTCCTCTAGCATGACTAGTGTAAATAGATACTGATAGTTAATGTCTGACCACTAGTATGAATAAATATGTTTGTACACTAAATAACTAGTGCAAGAAAATAATGATTGTATACTATTATTGCAGGAGTATCATTTTTTCTGACATTTAATTTCCATATATATTCAATAGATATATAAAGATGTGGTATGAGTACCAATGAAACATCTAAGTCACAACATGTAAAATTAAACCTTTATAGGTCAAAGTACGGTCTTCAACACAGACCCTTGGCTCACACCAAACAGCAAGCTATAAAGGGCCCTAAAATGATTTATATTGTTTCTTAATTCAAAATTGAAACTGTTACATATTTTCAGAAAATGAAATACCGAAAATCTGTGGTAGAGAGGTTAAACTTGATGGAAGAGAAACAGAAGTTGTCTATTTCAGCTATGATTTTATGGAATGGAAGAGCTTAGTTGAACAGAATATAACGTCTTGCAAGTTTGGTGCTATTGTGAATGTTGATAAACCATCAATGTATGATCTGGAAATGACATTTCAAACAGACACATCTACACTAATTACAGCTGACAAATGTTTCTTTGAAGTCTTATTATATGCTGGTGAATCATCACTTGGTACCCCAATGAAAGTAAGTGGTCAAAAGTTTAAATGAACAATCACTTAGTCTTCAAATGAAAGTATGAGATCCAATTAAAGATTAATGTGAACAAGTATTTGGAGGGTATTGTATATGTAATACAATGTCTGCTTGCCTCTGTAATGCAATTGATCAATTGATTCAGACATTGCAGAAAAAAGTTTGAAAAACTGATATTTTCTTATTCAAAATGCTACATATTCAGCAAAAATCATTTAAATGAAACAAAACTCATCTAATGCTTCAATTTCTTGTGGTAGACATCTAGTTAACTGATTCAGACATTACAGAAAAAAGTAAGGAAATCTGATATTTTCTAATTCAAAATGCTACAGTAAAAATCATTCAAATGAAACCAAACTCATTTCAAGCTGTAATTTCTTGCGAATGAACAACTAGTATACAACAAATATTTTGTAAACTGATTCAGGATTTATAGAAAAAAGTTTGGACAACTGAGATTTTCAAGTAATTTTCTTTCTATAAAGGCAACAACATCGAAAACAATTCTCTAACAGAAAAAACTCTAACTCAATTTGCAACTCAGTGTTCCAGCTTGAATCTCAGGGCAGAAGAGTGCTAGTTGTCTGAAAGGGCACTTTAGCGTTATAACCCAGATTTAAAGGGCAATGTTGGACATTGTATAAATTACCTTGAATATTGCTAGGCTTAGCTGGAGAACATTAGTTGTATTTAAACCATATTCAAAAATTAATGTGTTCTTGATGTTGGTTCCAGTAAGAATTTTTTTTTTTATCAAATTATCATACCATGAAGAAAAGCATATCATTTTGATGTTAATCTAAACAAACTTGTACATTTGGTAAGGAAAATAATCATCAGAAATTTCAATGTTTTATAACTTATACCAAAATAAACAAGTAGTTTTGAAAGATGGAGTTATACATGCAAAAATGAAGGTTTAATGTAATTAAATTATCTACATTTAAATTACTTGTTCAAACATATAGTAAATATGTTATTGAGAGTTATTTATTATCATTTGAATTGTCACAAAAAAGTATTTTTAAGTGCACACCAAAGTGCTCCTTGGTAAGGAGTTTTATAGATATAACAGGTGAGACAGGAGATGAGCATATTATATTGATCCAATAATATATTGCAGAAGATATAAACAGTTACTTTTTTCTCCATCATTGTTAAAAATAAATTTGTAAGTGCTCCTATGTCAGGAGGATTATAAAATACAAGAAGTAAAACAGGAAGTGAATCTTGTTATGTTCAAAGTACAAATTTCTTTGATTCTTCTTTAAATTTCATACTCATGGTTATGAAACAAAACATTTTTTACCAATTAAGTCAAAACTATGAATGTCTTTAAAATTGTTTAAGATTTTATTTTTTATGTTATGTCTACTGAAATAAATTTTTTCAGGTGTACATGCTGTACATAAACATTACAAATGGATAACATGTGGACATTTCATTCTGTATTTAATATCTAGTATTTGTTCAATTATCTTAAATCCACTAATTAGCAGTAAACAATCATTAACAAAGGTGATAAAACTGCCAAAGCATAAGGTATTTAACTTAATCCCATTGTCAGTTAATTAGTGTTACACAATCAGGTAACAATTTTACCGGAAACGCCGGTAGGCATGAAATTTGGAAATTTATCCTTTTGAAAAGGCAGAGGGAGGGCAGAAGGGCGGGGGTAAGGGCACCAAAGGCGGGCCGCCCTTCTATTTAGGGCAGGCCGGAACACTGCAACTAGTAATGATATGACTATTAAATATCAAACCTAGAAGAATTTAAGAAAAATTGGTTAAAACCTACCTGATGGCTGTACTGAAGAATATACAAGGTGCAAATTCAAACCTTTAGTCCCCTTTTGTATAGACCACTGATACTAGTTAGAACATGAAATGCATATAATGGTCCATCTATTTGTCAGGGGTACTTGACACCTGATACTATTTGTAAATATACATTTCACCAAGCTTGAACATTTTTTTCAATGAGGAAAGATGTATCTGTGTTTACAATTTTTGTTTTATTATTTTTATCTTTGCAGAAGTTTGATTGCAACCTTAGGGGATCTGTTAAAATAAGATGGCCAACACTAGATTTTACATTAGTTTTCCGAGTTTTGGACAGTTTCAAGTCTCAACAAAATACAGATTTGACAGGAAATGGAACAATACTTTTCTCAATGAAAGAGTGTTCTAACTGTGCTCTCTCAGATTTAACAGGTCTTGATCTTATGGAATCTGATATACCATCTTTCAAATGTAAGTAAACATTCTTGATTATGGTTGAGTTAAGGATGAATATTGTTTCAAATACATTGTATAATATTATTCATGTACCAGTATTTTATAAGTTAAAGTATTTCCAATTTTTGGAGTGCATTTCAACTATCTTTGAAGAGACATTTGTTGTCAAAATGCACATCTGGTGCAGAAAAATTGGTACCATTAATGTTATTTGACCTTCAAATTATGTGAGGTAGTGTTTTTAACGTACTGATGTTTAAAAACTGAGAAAATCATTACCTAAAAAACAACCAAAGCACTATGAGCACTGTGGGTATCAAATTACACCCCCACCGGACATGCATCCCTGTGTAAGGCATTCTGCATCAAAAATTGCAGGCAAGTCAAAAATTAAGCATTTTTTCATAGAAACTTAAGAACAGTAGATTATTATACAGTTATTTTTTTTTAAACTGACATTACATAGTTATAAGATATATATAAATGTGCCCTTTTGTTTACAAATTGGGATTAAAAGCTTAATTTGTAAGCATTTTTTTGCCATTTATACATTCTATTTCATTAGTGTACAAATAAATGTTTCCCAACTCTTTGTCAGTAATGACAAGAACATAACTTTCGATAATTATTAAGCACTGTCAGTGTGAACCATCATAGTACATTTGAAGCAAAAAAAAAATGATAGCAAATAGTACCTAGTACAATCCCAGTACAGTAAACAATATATGTTGTTCAAGCTTCAATATGATATACCTTTGATCTATGAAAATGTCAAATGAATAGGTGAAGGATATATGGTTTTTCACAAGTTTTAGTTTGTAACATGCTTCATTGAACAGGAACTATCCTATCTGATGCTGATGATTTGATGAGAAAGTTAGCCAATTAGGATCATAATCAGGCCTAAATAGTAGCTACATCATAAGAAATTCTTTGACACACTTGCCAGACTGTGATAGTAAATTCGTTTTTTTTTTTTATTAACAATCCATACATTTGCTGTTTTCTGTATTCAAATAAGGATATGTGGTCTGATTGCCAATAAGATAACAATCCTCCAGAGATTAAATGAGGGAGATATAAACAATTCTAGTATTATAGGTCACCGCATGGCCTTCTACAAATGAGAAAAACCCATACCTTATAGTCAGCTGTAACATGAAAAATATGAACAAATAACCCAAACTTTCATCTGAAATAATTGGACTCTAAATTGAATGATCTTTGTTTGGGAGACGTTTTAAACTCTCAATAATAAACTATCTTGTTGTTAATAGATAGTAAGTTAAACATAATGTTAACATGTTGTACACATCCAACTACATTGTATATTTTTAAATATTATGAATATAATTATATCTATAAATTTCAGTTAACCCTTTCCTTCCCTGTAAAATGGATGGTTGTTTGGAAGATTCACTTCAAATGTTTAAATTAAAGCGTGCACCAAATACCAAAGAGCAAATGTTTGAATTAGCATTCAAAACATGCACTGCTAACATTGAGGTACAAAGTAATACAAAGAAGATATGTTTCCGCCAAGCAAATCTTAATGAAGACCTTTATGACCGCTGTAGACCAGCTACAGATAAATACCGGCACATTCTTATACATATGGATTCTGTTTTCACTTTTGTAAGTTTAATTGAGTTTCTAAGGCAAATACTTTATTTTTGCCTCAAAATTGAAGAATATCAAATCAATTAAGAATTAAATTTGCTCATTAGAAAATAATACATATTGATTTTTGTTTGCTAATCATTCAGTGGCATTTACTTGATGCATATTCAGGAGGAGAACAAATTTAAACAATTGGTAGGTTCTACAAAATAGATAGAACAGTATGAAGGGGATATTGAACTGCCACTAGTAATGTAGAGTATAGTCAATAGAGGCAGAACTTTCACCAATCAATAGGCCACCTGTGCGCTGCTGAATAATTTTGCAAGATTTATTATACCTTGCAGAGAATGTAACAATTTTTTTCACATATGACATCCGATTTTTTCAACAGAGAATGAGAATAAGAAGATGTTTAATGAGATACAAACAAAAGACAAAAAGATATTTTTGCTTTTTTTAAGGAAAAATCTATCTTTAGAACTCGTTTACTTAACTGAATTAAAGCATGTAAAAGAGAGACTAAAGATACCAGAGGGAAATTCAAATTCATAAGTCGAAAATAAACTGACAACGCTATGGCCTAAAAAAGAAAAATACCAACAGACAAACATTAGTACACAAAACACAACATAGAAAGCTAAAGACTGAGCAACATGAATCCCACCAAAGACTGGGGAATGTATTGATATTCACATATTTGGTTCCCATTGTTGAACTTGGTCCCTTGAGAGGAATCCAAAATGAACAGTAAAAATTATTTATAATCCTGGTGTATATATATAATATATATATAAAATAGTTGGATGATTGATAAAAGGTGTTCTACTGATACAGGTCCCTATTGTATTTTACAGGTTATTAAATGTGATGACCTCCAGGGATGGTGGTGTTTACCTGAGGATTTTCCAAAATTTCAAAATCTGACGATCACATGGAAGTTGATATACCTCCATGGTACCGTTACAGAAGAGCTATGGGTACTTTCTGCATCCTCCGGCAATAATAGCCAAGCATGCTCACAGCCAATAATTTACACTACACCAACGCCAGGTAATATATCATAGTAGTTTTGTTGTTGACGATAAATAGAGAAAATAAAGAATCATTTACAATACACCACAACCAGGTTATATATCATATAAGTTGTTTTTTTGGACGAAGAATCAAAATAAATAAAGAATTAAATTTTAGACATATTATTTTACCCTTTGAACATTTGTTGATAAAAATTTTGTTTTTCATTAATAGTGAAAGTTACTCGTGCTCCTAAGGAAGATAACAGTGGTTTATCAACTCCCAGAATACTAGGGATAGTGTTTGGTGTATTGTCAGCTCTCTGCACATGTTGTGTGGGTGGATATTGCTGCTGCTGCAAGAAGAGAAAATCACAAGGTATTTTATTATTTCCCCTAAATTTTATGCATGTTCTGTTCTATAATGACTGCACAGGGTATATAACTGATTTGTCTCTGTATTTTGGGAATAGATTCTGTTCCATATAGACTGCACCAGGTATTTTACTGATTTGTCTCTGTATTTTGTGAATAGATTCTGGTCTATTTAAACTGCACCAGGTATTTAATTTTTTTTGCCATATTTTGTGATTAGATTCTGTTCCGATTCTTTTCCATATAGACTGGACCAGGTATTTCATAATAACTGCATGTGGTATTTTATTTTTTCTCATATTTTGTTAATAGATTCTGTTCCATTCAGACTGCACCAGGTATTTTACTGATTTCCCACATATTTTGTGAATAGATTCTATTCCATATAGACTGAACCAGGTATTCGATTGTTTCCCTATATTTTATGAATAGATTCTGGTCCATATAGACATCATAAGGTATTTTACTGATTTGTCTTCATATTTTGTGAATAGATTTTAATCAAAACAGACTGTACATGGTATTTTATTGATTTCCCTTAAATATTGTGAAGAGATTCTGTTCTGCACCAGGTATTTTACTGATTTTTGTCAAGCCTGCGACTTTTGTCGCAAAAGCGAGACATAGCGATCCTACATTCCGTCGTTGGCGGCGTCCACAAATGTTCACTCTGTGGTTAAAGTTTTTGAAATTTCAATAACTTTCTTAAACTATCCTGGATTTCTACCAAACTTGAACAGAAGCTTTTTTATGATCATAAGATAGTATCCAGAAATAAATTTTGTAAAAAAAATCCTGTTTATCCGTATTTTACTTATAAATGGACTTAGTTTTTCTGCCACTTAACATTACATTCACTCTGTGGTTAAAATTTTTAAAATTTTAATATTTTTCTTAAACTATTCTGGATTTGTACCAAACTTGGACAGAAGCTTGTTTATGATCAAAAGCTAGTATCTAGAAGGAAATTCTGTAAAAATTATTTCCTGTTTTTCCGTATATTACTTATAAATGGATTTAGTTTTTCTTCTAACTAACTTTAACTGCAGACTGTAGGTAATGTTTTTAAAACATTTATTAGATTCATAAACCATCCTGGATTTTTATCCAAACTTGGATAGACGCTTCTTACAGCAAAAAAATAGTATCTAGAGGAAAATTTTTAATAATTTTTTCCCCATTTTTGTTGAGCCTGCGACTAACAGCAAAAATAGGCGAGACACTGGGTTCTGCAGAACACTTACGATTTTTTCTATATATTTTGTGAAAATATTCTGTTACATACAGACTGTAACAGTATTTTACGGATTTTTCTCTATACTTTGTGAATAGATTCTGTTTTATATAGACCGACATTTTGTGGTGAAGGATAATTTTCAGTATACATATTTTTATTTCACCTCAGACTAGTCTAGGAAGACTATATGAAAACAAATGTATATAATATAACATGCACTGTTCTAACATTGTTGAAAGAAATATTTTAAGCAAGATTTTACTGTTAAAAGTTCAGTTTTAATTAGTTAATCCTGTTTGTTCATATTTTGGTAATCAGATCATATACTATGCACCAACTTATTATCGTGTATACTTTATATATCGTTTAGCCTTGTCTATCTTACTTCTTAGCAATTTATTTTTTAAGCTTTCCAAAGTTCCATTATGTATTTATATATAAAAAAAGGTCCAACTTTTACAACATCATGACGATTTCTACTAGTGTTATTTTCAACTCGCAAAAATATCACTCTGGAAAAATAGTTGTCGTAAAGTAACTAGTTATAATTACTGAACTCATTTAAGCACCATGCTTTGACATTTGACAGAAATATCTCAATCAGTATCATGCAGTGATATGTCTTGTGTTTGTTTGTGTGCATACTTTTGTCATTTTACTGTACCTGCATGGCCAATGTTTTTAGAACAAACTAATACCTGTTTTGTGTGATATCTATCTCACTTTATATATAGGTGAATATAAACAGATTTGATTTAATGTATATATCTACAAAGCAACAAGAAAAAAAACCTAGAAAAAAAAACCCAAAAATTCTGAACTCCGAGGAAAATTCAAAACGAAAGCCCCTAATCAAATGGCAAAATCAAAAGCTCAAACACATCAAACGAATTGATAATCAGAAAAGGATTGATTGATAGATTGATTGAAGTTTACACAAATTTCACCACTATTCATATTTCAGAACCTAGAATACTTAAATGCTTCATACCTTGTATGCAGATACCTTATGTTAAGTTTCTGTCTTTCCTACATCGATTTTCCTTGACTTCATTATCATGGTTGGGTGAATGTCTGAAAAAAATAACTTTTTTTTTTTTAACTAAAATGCTCTCTTATGAGTAATATTTAACAATACTACCTATATTTTGTATATGGGTTCCTTGCAAATCTACATGTTCGTCAGGGGCATATGTAGGATTCACCCGACCTAGACCTCATTTCATGGATCCAGGACCAAGGTGAAAGTTACGTGGTCAGTAGATAGATATAAGATGTAGTATGAGTGCCAATGAGACATCCAAGTCACAACATGTAAAGGTAAACCTTTATAGGTCAAAGTACGGTCTTCAACACAGAGCCTTGGCTCACACCGAACAGCAAGCTATGAAGGGCCCCAAAAATGACTAGTGTAAAACCATTCAACAGGAAAAACAGTCTAATCTATATAAAAAAACGAGAAACACTTATGAACCACATCAACAAACGACAACCACTGAACATCGGGTTCCTGACTTAGGACAGGTGCAAACAAATGCAGCGGGTTTAAACGTTTTAATAGGTACCTTCACCCTTACCCGAAACAATAGTGTAACATCACAACATAGAAAGACAAACTATAAAATATCAATTGAAATGGCTTAACGCATTCAAAAGACATATAAGGCTCCTATCTCAGATACCATAAGCATTATGTTAACTATATTTTGTGCATGCAATGAACGTAAGTTGTACTTGTCTGACTGGAATTTTTCATATGACCATGACGTCAATTTCATGGTTTATAGAACAATGATTGATTTTTGTGGTTATGTAAGTTTATCGGTTACTATATTAAAAGCAATAAGTAAACTATAATTGTTGTGTGGGTTGATTGTAAGGTTTACATGTCTGTCTGGCAGGGTTTATATAAACTTGACTTCATTTCATGGTTCATTGGTCAATGTTGAGGTTTTGTGGTTTGATCTGTTTCTCGGGTTCTTTAAGCGATATGACCACCATATTTGGTGTATGGAATGATTGTTACATGTACATGTCTGCCTGGTATGGTCAATCTCACCATGACTTCATTTTCATGGATTATTGATAATGTTAATTTTATGTAGTAAAACTTTCATAATTTAGACTTTCAACATAAATTCGATCATAAAGTGAAGAAACTGAGACATTTCAGTATGTATTCTCTAGTTTGTATATGAACTTTTACTATTGGGATGAGCCTCCCAACAGTGATTGTGATGTAATTTCACCACAATACCTATGTTGGTATATTGACTTTGTTAGGAACACCAGATACTGTCACTGATGTCAAACTGTCTATGCTTGATGAACAAAATGACAACCATTAAATTCATACTTTGGTAAGTATAAGAGTTTGTACATAAATAGATCTGTCTGTTGCTTTTCCTTTTCTTAATTATGTTAATTATAAAAATGTTAATCAGAATCAAAAACATCTAAAGCCAAAAGTATCAAATACTGTTCAGTGATTACAATGAATAGCCTATTTAGGCTAAGCTATAATTTTCAAGGCTCTATCTGAAAGTGTGGAAACATGTGTCTTTGAATAATGCATCTTTATAACTTCAGCTTGAGTGTTTTGATCATCCATATATATTTTCAAATACTATCTTTAGTTTCAAATCACATCAGCATTTTTGATTTTTTTCTGCATTTCCATTGAATTCTTTGTCTCACCTGCAAATATTTTTATGTAAATCCTTTACATATACATTTCATATGAGCACATTTACAGGTTTCCTTTGATTTTCAAATCAATTTGATTGTTAATCCCTTCAAAAACTTTTCAATGTAACAGTAGACAAGACATGATAGTGTGTCCACACTTGTCTATTATGTTACACTACAATATATATAATGCATGTGCTGCCCCTTTTGAAATTTTCAAATCATGTCCTTAGAGCTATTATAGAATAGTATTTAAAAAAAAACATTCAATAAGTTTGCTTTTCAAGTTTGTAAGAAAATTTGCAATTAATAGTAACACATCTATTACTGAAAATTCTGAATTATTGAAAACTTTTCATTAATGTGAATAATGCCACCGGCTGAGTACAGTAATGAGCCACCAATGGGTCTTCAATGCAGGGGGAAATCCTGCACCTAGGTGGTGGCCTCAGCGGGCCCCTAAATAAATATGTGTACTAGTTCAGAGAAAATGGACGTCATACTTAACTCCAAAGTTCATGCAATAAGTTCAGAATTTACTGTATACATTTTGTAATTTGTCAATTTTGTAATTTGTCAAATAAATTAAATCTCATTCTTACCAAGCCTATAACTTTGTGTGCTAGTGTCTGTTTTAATTGTAATGCTTGAGCTAACTTCCACAAACTTTGTTTCACTTTTTATATTGTAATACTTGCACAAACTTGCACAAATTTTGTTTTACTGTTTTGATTATAACGCTTGAGCAAACTTGGAAAAACTTGAATGTTCTGATTATAATGCTTGAGTAAACTTCATAAAAATATTTGTTTGACATTGATTTGTACATGATCTTTTACCAAAGTTGGAAAGATTGCACTTCCTGCAAACTGAAGGATTAAAAGGATAAGTATGACAAGAATTGCAAATAATAAAAATACATACAGTTATCAAGTATTTCATTTTACAAATATCCTTCTCATCTGAAATCCTGAAAATTATACAATTCAAACTTGTTTGTTGAAAACTTAAGCTAAAGCATTCTAAAGTATATAAAATAGATAGCAGGAAATACCCAAAGTATAGAACAATAAAACAGTCCAAACCTACCTAATGTTAATTTCTCAAACTTTTTCCGATTTTTGGGTTATTCCTGAATAATCTGATTTGTGGTACAATAGTGGACAACAATAATTTACATATGGAGTTTGCATTTTGTTCTAGTTTACTGAACTTATAAGAAATACTGTTCTCAGGCTAAAAAAAGTAGATACCAGGATTGAAATTTTGTATATGTGCCAGATGCACGTTTCTTCTACAAAAGACTCGTCAGTGACGCTCAAATCAAAAAAAGTTAAAAAGGCCATATAAAGTTGAAGAGCATATATTGAGGACCAAAAATTTCTAAAAGTTTTGCCAAATTATATACATATTTTTATTACATACATCAGAGTTTATGATGACTTGCAGATTGAGATTGTGTTTTGTTCCTATTTACTAATTTTATTGATATGGCTGCAGGCAGGGGCACAACACGTTTTTATATTGTATTTTCTTAGTTGTTGGTGAGGGGGGTGAGAAAATGTAGTTAAAACACTTCGTATAAATCACAGAAGTTTATTGGGATACAATACTATGTGATTCAAAATGATTGAATCGTCGTGAACTATTTATGACATGTTGCATCAATCATGATTTTGTAATTTTAATATTGTATCATTATTCACAGGGTCAAGTAATGGAGTTGAAATGAATTGAATTCAGAATTCAAGGTGACGGAAAGCACTATTGCCATTTGAAATTTGGATGAATGTATTCTGTGCCTAAAAGAAGAAACACTGTTTATGTTAAATGCAATTGGAAATGTTTGACACTTATCACTAATGGAAGTAATAATGTGATACCTGTGATTTTGTTTCTTTCATGGAGCTGAATACAACTATTTAGTTGTATAATTTCATGGCAGTCTATGGCATTATTTTATGTTAAAATTGAAATTGATTGCTAGCTTATGTTACCTATCTTTACTAAAATGTTAATGAAGAGTATCAATTTGTTATTGCAATTTGTAGGGGCAGTGTGATTGTTTTGTTTGTTTTGTTTTGTTTTTTATATATTGGGGAAGAATGGCTACATTTTTAGAGGTTGATAAAAGTCTACCTCATTAAGATCAAGAATTGTGAAGTTACATTGTATCACTTAAAGATCAAGGAACAAATAAACCATCAGCAGCAGAAACAAAGATAATACTTACTAATGTGACTTTTCAGGAATGGACAGAAATTTGTCAAAATTGTTATATAATGCAATTTGGAAAATGCTAGATGATAAAGAAAACCCAAATGTTTATTACCAATATGGTTGTTTAGAGTATTTGTATTTAGAGAAATGGTCTGCTGGTTGTTTAATTTTTTTTCCTTCATTCTATCTATATTTGTCTTTTCATAACAAGATTCAGATGTAAGTATCTCATTTATAATTAAGAAAAAAATAGTTTTCTTTAAAATAAAGAGCATCGTAAAGGTAGAGGGGGTATATGTCAGAAAAAAATAGATATGAAGTGAAAGTGTTAATTCTTGATAAGCAGACATCTTTATTCCTTAAATGGAGTATTGTCACTCCTTAATTTTTCCCCAAAAATATTTAAATTTATGATCCATGAAGAAAAATGAGTTTAAAACTATTTTGCATTGTCTGCTTATTGTCCAAAATGCATGATTTTTTTTAAGAATATAAAGTTTGGTCCTTTGCGGTTTAAAAGGAATAACCATGACTTTTTTCTGATATCAGATTATTTGAACTCAATGAAGAAATTCTCATCAATCTTTTAAATTCTACCTATTTCTAAACCTAATACAAATATTTTGTTTTATTCTAAGACAATATACAGTTATTCTATATATTTCCGTTATTTAGATTATATTGTTATTTGATTGGTGCTTATGTAGACTAGTCGCTATATTTTACAATTTATATTATATTGTTATTAGATAAGTGTTTACATGGACTCTTGGCATTATTGTTTTATATATCAGTTTTTAAACTTTTTGAAACATATTTTTTATCAATTTATTCAATACACAAGTTACTTTTATACTCTATACTAGATCTTATGTTTTATAGTTTTCCTGGACTTAAAAAGTTTACATTATATTTTTGCTTTAAATGGAAATGTTCCTAATAAAAGTTGCATAAATAAAGGAAAGAAGTGCAATTCTTCCATTATTGGTTAATGTTATTTTTCTGTTTTTAAAACTTGATTAGTTTTAGATATCTTTTCCCTCTTTTTTCCAGTGACTTGATATGTTAATTTTGGGGAGCAATTTTAAATAGATTACCATCATCAGTGTACACCATCAGAAAAAATATTCTAAAGCAATTAAACTTATTCTGATATAACAATATTTTGTCATTTATTACTATAATTTACATGTTCAGTTAATAAGATATGATTGAAAATAAAACTACCCCTACCTGAAAAAGCCGTTTTAAAAAGATAATTTCCAAATTTGAATCCTTTTCTTTTATTTTCTTATATTATTTTTTTCAAGCTTTAGTGCATTAAAATAGAAATAACAATACTGTAGTTGAAGACTTGTCACCAGTAAAACTGCATTTGCCACAGCAAAACCTTTAATTGATGGCAGCAAACCTTCAAATGTCTGTAATTTGTCCTGGTTACTTTTGTTTCTTAGATACTATACGCAATAGGTCAACTATATTTATAAGCATATTTGGTGTATGGAATGACAGTAAGGTGTACATATATTTTTTCAGTTTAGTTTATCTGACTTTTACCTCATTTTCCTAGATCATGATAAGTTTATGTAATAGTTGTAGTAAAGCTTTATATTTAGGACTATCAACAAAAAATCAATGGTCAGTAAAGGTTTCATTTCAGCATGTGCACTCTAGTTTACAGTAAGCATTTACTTGGATTGTTATGAAATTTGGAAAGAAGCTTATCTTCAAGATAAAAAAAAGCATCTAAAGACAGTAGAAATCAAAGGCAAGCCTTCAGGTTCCTAATACTTTTGGGCCATTTTTTGGGGGTTTATTTGCACTATGTGGAAATTGTTATTCAAAAGTGCTAGTCTGTAATTATAAAACAGCTGCAAATGCATGAACATAGTAAACTTAGCATATAAATACTGCTGTTTGATAACATGGAGCAGCAGAATATTTTATTAAGATCCCGGTTCATATACTTCCCCGATTCTGATACAAAATAATTAATGATACTTTCTTCATCTGCATGTCACCATGGCAACGATAAATTTGATTTCCTGTTTTAACTTGCTAGGTAGTTAGCTATGGTTTTACAACATTTTCCCATTTTCGGAAACTCTACGAATCAGGAGGAAATTTTAGCAAAATTCTGAATGTTTTACACTTATGCATTAACTTTTTATATGTGAACACCATGTGTGTAGTTATAGATGATATCTTAATACATCTTTGGAGCTATATACATGTTACATGTCTAAACAGGGGATGTTGTTTTTGGTTTTGTTCTTGTTATTGAACTACCTCTTTTTATCAAGAAAAATCTTATTTCAAGATTTTATAAACCTGATTTTTATTTTTTATATGTGAAATCTATTTGAAATAGTTGTTTACTTTATTTTTAATATATACCTAACTGCTTTATTTTTTTTTGTCCTTATGAAAAATTAGATGCTTGAATATGTTTTGTTACAGTAATCTCTTATGAGATTTTCAGTCTTTAACTCTAAAAGTATATAAAAAATATAGTCTTTATAGGTAATTTAAAATGAAAATATGTCAGATTAGATCTATGGATTTGTTTAGAATTTGGACTTGTGGTTTACTTGTTATACACTGTGTTATGAGCATTATATCAACTCAAACATTGTGCTGCCATTATTAAATTCTCTGCAAAAAAATGCACAAAACTTTCTGTGCTGAAGCTCTCATAATATCTGTATTTTTTTCTTTTGAAAGAGAACTCAGTGCAACGTAACATGTCTTTAGACATTAGGTATACATATTTAGCGTTACCACAGAATTTTGTGCTCCTTTATGGATAAAGTTAGTGGTGGTGAGCTTTTCTCATCACTTGGCGTCCGTCATCCGTTGTCGTCATCGTCCTTAGTCGTCGTTAAATTTTACAAAAATCTTCTCCTCTGAAACTACTTGGCCACAATCATCATTATGGTATCTAGTTTAAAAAATGTGTCCGATGACCCCGCCTGCCAACCAAGACATGGCTAAAAATAGAACATATGGGTAAAATGCAGTTTTTGGCTTATATCTCTGAAACTAAAGCATTTAGAGCGAATTTGATCTGGGGTAAAAAATTTCATCAGGTTAAGATCTATCTGCCCTCAAATATTTAGACAAATCAGACAACCTATTGGGTTGCTGCCTCTGAACATTGGTAATTTTAAGGAAATATTGCAGTTTTTGGTTATTATCTTAAATATATTTATAGATAGAGATAAACTGTAAACAGCAATAATGTTCAGCAAAGTACGATCTACAAATAAGTCAATATGACCAAAATTTTCAATTGACCCCTTAAGGAGTAATTGCCCTTTATAGTCAAATTTTTAACAATTTTTTTCGTAAATTTTTTTAATCTTTTACAAAAATCTTCTCCACTGAATTTACTGGGACAAATAGAATTAAACTTAGCCGAAATTTTCAATAGGGTATCTTGATTGAAAAATGTATCCGATGACACTGTCATCCAACCAACATGGCCACCATGGCTAGAAATAGAACATAGGGATTTACTATAGAAGTCTAAGGGAAAAAATTGTAAAAAAACAATTTCAAATGGTCACAACTTAAAAACTACTTTAAAAAATGATAAGGGTCTTCAGTAACTATTGTAAGTCTAGTTACTAGTGGGATGACCTGCTTTTAATTTAACTACTGGGCAAAAATTAAACCAAACTTGGCCTCTATCATTATTAAGGTATCTAATACTATTTATTATGATTTAAACCTTATTTTACATGATTTCCAAAACCACAGAAGATGCAGGTGAGCGACACAGACTCTTGAGAGCCTCTAGTTTTATCTAAAAGTGAAAAATATTTCGAGAATGAAACTCAATTAAACATGGCATTTATTTTGATTCCAAAGACAGTAAAACTTATAACGTTATCTAAATAACAGATAGATTTCATCCTAACAGGCAAATTGACATGACAATTTTATGGGTAATTATTATTTATTTTATAAAGTGTGTCACTTTTATTGTAACGCTAAGAGTTTTGTTAGCTTTAAATGTAATATCAAGTTTTAAATAATTAAGATCATACAAAAATTTGATATTAAACAGTCAAATCACTACAATTGTTTTATTAAATACAAATACCTGTGTGGTCCCCTGGTAGCATTTTTTCTGTCAAGAGGAGAAGGATATTGATTTGGTCCATGGCCAGGTAAAAGTAGGCTTTGAGATTTGTGTGTTCTGCTGAGGTGCTAAGCACATGGCTTTAAGAAGTAAGAGCAAAGACTTGTAAGCTGGGAGTGAAATTAATAATTCAATAGGGTACTCAGATACTTGATACACAAGGTCTTTTTAGAGACATCTCTTCTCTAAAGAATCATAGATTTTATGACACAGATACTTTATAAACCATGCAGGTCTTTTGTGACATCTGTCTTATATAGAACCATATACATTTGTGAAGCTGATCTTTACTGATATCTCTCCTCTATAGCATCATAGACATTAGACATTATAGCTCATATACTTTATAAACCAGGTCGATAGTGAAATATCTCCTCTATAGGATCATAGACATTATAACACATATACTGTAAACACCAGGTCTTCAGTGACTACTTTCCTCTATAGAATCATAGATATCATGACGCAGATACTTTATAAGCCAGGTCTCTAGTGACATCTGTCCTTTATAGAAACATAGACATTATAACATAGACACTTTGTGAAGCAGGTCTTTAGTGACATCTCAGTTCTATAGAATCATAGACAATATAACTCTGATATTTTATAAACCCGCTCTAGTCTTTCATGACATCTCTATTCTTTAACATCATAACCATTACAGCACATATATTTTACAGCCTGTTATGATCTGTTATCAAATATGTGACAAACCATTTAACAGGGTAAATGTCCATTTCCTGGGTTCTTACTTTAAACTAAGGATGGGTTCAGATTGATAATTGCTAAAACTCAGATGAGCACAAAGAAGGCCATATTGCAACAATAAATGCGTTCAGGCCATTAACGAAAATGATAAAAAGCTGTGTTTAGGCAATATAAAGAGTGTAAAAGGGAATGTCAATGTTGATCATAGGCCTACACCACAACTACACACACTTGTCACTTTAACATTAAAAAAAAAATCATTCCATCTAATAACTATTACTTGTGTTTATAAATCTTTTTACAATGTTTAAACGAAATTCTTCATAAATAGGACATCAAGTTAGACTTTTGAATGGACCGATTCAGAAATGAATCAACGACAACCACTGAACTGCAGGCTCCTGACTTGGGACAGCCACATAAAGAATGTGGCGGGGTAAATCATGTTTTTGAGCGCTCAACCCTCCCCTTAACTTTTTTCTTTTGTAAGAACGGCCCCATTATTTTTAGAGTTAGATTTCCTAACCACTTACTTTTGTTTTGTACATTTACTTTCACTAGTCTTCTTTTCTAACAAGCCTTTTTCTCTTGAGTTCTTCATTCAACTTCTTTTCATTGTGTAACATTGTCGTTTTTAAGTCACCAACTACAGATTTCAAGGCCGCTCTGAATTGACTAATCGACTCCTCGTTCTAAAAATCATCTAAGTTGACTGATCATCGATCGAAATTGATGGCTGTCCCCAACTTTTTCCTAACTCTGTTTCTGGATTGTCTCGTCTTGATGGAGCGAGTCTTAAGTATGCCTTTTCCAACGGCGGTGGCATCAATATAAATAGGACGATGTAGTATGAATGCCAAGTAACAATGTAAAAAAACTTAACAATTATAGGTCAAAGTACAGTCCTCAACACGGAGCCTTGGATCACGCAGAACAGTAAAACAATTCAACCAGGAAAACCAACGGTCGAATCTATATAAAAAACGAGAAGCGAAAAACACCTATGAATCACACTAACAGGCGCCTGACTTAGGACAAGTGCATTAAAATGCAGCAGGTTTAAACGTTTTAACTTGTGCTAACCTTTACCCTAACCTGAGACAGTAGTGTAACATTACAACATAGAAACACACTGTAAAATATCAACTGAAATGGCTTAACCCCTTAACTCGATCAAAAAGACATTTAAACAAAAACAAGTAAACATACACTGAACGAATAAGTTTGATCTATAACACAATATAAATACAATATTAAAACGTAGGTGCCTATATAACATAGTCGTTACAGGTAGTAATAAAAAAGATGTAGGAAGAGTGTCAATAAGACAACTCTTTCCTGGGACAAAATGGCATTAAATAAAACAACGTACACAGGTAAATTTAAATATGACAATTTTGTTGTTAGGAGTACGGAAGTTAACATTTTTAGTTTGTGATCAGGTCAGTTTATGGGGAACCACTAGTGGTAAGTCAATGATATTTGGTATGCAGTTCTATTAGCATTGGTACATCTCATTTCCATGGAGAAAATTTTGCCCCGTTCTCTTAATCATGGTCTATTGATTTTGAGACTTTTACATACTTTACATGTATTAGTTTGTGATTAGGTCAGTTTAAGGTGGACCACTAGTGATAGGTCACATGCATTTGGTAGGTATACATTAGCATTGGCATTGGCACATCCCATTCTCATGGAAATTTTTATTTGGATTTGCCCCCTAATCATGGTTCATTGACTTTAAAAAATTTGCAAGTTACAGTTTGTGTTCTGGTTAGTGTAAAGGGCACCACTTATGATAAGTCAATGTTATTTGGTATGCAGTAATCTCCTTTCTGTGGAGATTATTTGGTCCTGCACATTTGTCATGGTTCATTGACTTTGCATGTTTTGGCTATAATTTACATGTTTAGATATTGCCATTTGGATTCAATATTTGTATTATATAACAAAATTCCTTAAAAGCGAGACTCTGTGTCAACTGTTTATAATATGGAAGTTTCAGTTTTCTTCTCATCTTTAGTCAGCATTTAAATTAAGAAGCGGCTTCTAGGAGCTAATGCTCGGCTAAAGACTTAATTTAACTAAGTGCATTTCGGAGAGGGCTGTCGGACTTGGCTATCGTCAAACAGAATTCTTACACAACACTCTCACTTCTAACGTGCATATTTAGTCCGATTACTCTAAAATAGAAGCGAAAGATACCTAAGCCTTAGCATATTGCCAATATCTGGATAAGGAGGGTGGTTAGACACAGGCGCTTGTCTCAGAATTTTTTTTCAAGTTATATTTACCTTAATATAACACTAAGGTATATATAAACAAAACATTCTGAGACAAGTGCCTGTGGTTAGATGAAGACGAGTCGACGAGTCAGGTAGTGTGGGCGGGTCTCTATTGCATTGGATATTGATCTTTGTGGAGGTGTGATCATCTGAGACTCTTCCTTCAGAACTCGTGGCAGATGAGTCTGGCTTCGGTTTGAAATAAGAAAATATTTTTTTTCTGCATGACTCGGACAGCTTCATCAACACTTGTTATTAGGCTGTCAAACTAACATCCGGGATAGACGGAAAAGACACAAACAGTCTCCGAACGTTAAACAAATATCACGTTCATAATAGATAATAGATGCATCACGTCGTTAATACCCCTCCCACTCTGTCCAATTCCAATTGACAAATTCATATATGTTATATTTGTCCCTCCCTCCCTCTCTCTCTCTTCCCTTTTTTTTTTTTTTTTTGTGAAAACGACGTGAATGCACGTGCTGTCGTGCCTCCGGGTAGCTACGCCCCTGTAAGGGATATTCAAACTCATAAGTCGAAAACAAACTGACAATGCCATGACAAAAAAAAGAAAAACGACGAAAAGACAAACAACAGTTCACAAAACACACAAAGAAAATTAAAAACCTAGCAACACAAACCCCACCAAACACCGGGGTGATCTAAGATGTTTCGGAAGGGTAAGCAGATCCTGCTTCAATATTTATCTGAAGAATTATAAAACAGTCCAAATGATCGGCCAAAGGGGAATAACGAAAACAAATTTTGAAAATTTTGCATCGTAGATTTGTACATTATGGTTTTTTGTGTCCGAGAGAGAGACAAAAACATTAATCAAACCTTTTTAGGTATTTTGGATTTGTACAGTGTCGTTTCATACGATATATGTCCTTTTGCGTTATGACAAAGAGACAGTCAAGCTTTTTAGAACATACTCACCCATTCTCGTCCAATGGAAAATCAGTATTTTCCCTTCTATTTTTCATAGTACATGCAGGCGGAAACCCAGTTGAAATTAAAACAAAAGAAATGGAACTCTTTGTTATAGAAGGTAAAAAAGGCGAAGTTAGTAAATTTGAATTGTTTACATCTGTTTCTATGGGCTTTAAAAGTTAAATAAATGTGCCTAATTTATGATTTTATGCATCTTATGTATGTGTTTTACTTAATTTATTGAATTGAGCTTCGAGATATTTGTAAACTTTTAAATTATAGACAACTTTTCACAAAACAGTCGATTGTGGTAGGTGCAAATTCTCGTGGATCTTTTTTGTGCATAAGCATAACTTCCGCCGAAAAAAATTCCAAAGAAAGATCATAGATTTATCTTCTTTTAAAAAGCATCAATTTGCATCTCTGCCCTCGGTGACAGTTTTTCGCTTCCGTTTGTATTATTTTTATCAATTTAGGCTGTAGGTTGATACAAAAACATTAAAAATTTACAGTACTAAAAGATGACATATATGGGTCAAGTGAAATACCTGTCCAATGAGTCATAACAACAGAGTAGGCGTGTTCGAATAACAATTTTTTTACTAAAATTACTTGACGACAAACTTTTCTGGTGGATCTTAAAATTGCATTACTTTAAAAAAAAATTCATTTGTTGTGTGTGTTATCTAGGGTGATTAGTCTTCAACCTCTGAAAATTTTTATGTTCCACGAAATACTTAATTAGAATTTTTTTAAATATTTTTGAACTTTCGAAAATTCCCCCTGACAACCGATTAGACAATCGTTTTAAGTTGGCCAAATACATAAAAGTACATTAAATGATGCTTAATAGCTAGTAGATACATTTGTCTTTTAAAATACAACTGGCATATAAGGATCGTAATGATACTATGTGGATAAATTTATCGGAAGAGCTAAATTGACAGCGCGTCATCACTACAATGACTACCATTTTTATGATTATAAAAATTAGGTGGC